ACTAGACTCTTTGGCATCGCGCCACTCTGTGACATTGAAAGACCCCCAGCTAGGATGCCAAGACATCAAATCTCTGGAGGATATCCTCCCGATTTAGAGGCACTCTAAGTTCCAAGGGCAGGGAATCATGAATTGATCGCGAAGGCTCGTCCGCTGGATTTGCCGCGGATGCCACACGGTCAACCCAAGTTGTCAAACCAGTCGCAACCTCGAATGCATCGAACTCACGCAAAATGACTTCCACGATCCTTGAGTGGGTCCGACCAGTCAAGAACGCTTGAAGGGCCGCCTGGTTGTCCAGGAAACCCACCACCTCTGTGAGAGGGCTCAGCTCCTTTTGTCCAAGCAAATGCATGATTCCCAGAAGAAAGGCAAGGGCCTCACACTCGTATATGATGGTCTCTTTCTCAAGTGGGTTCAACACAACTGCATCAAGGTCGCTCAGATTCTTTCCAAACCAAGAGACAATGTTTCCAAAGCCATCAAAAAGGACACCTCCTAATCCTACTTCACCTTGCTCGTAGCTTGCGTCCGCGAAGAGGAAAAACTGTTGTCCAGTTCCAGCTCTGAGCAATCTCGGGGGACCAAGGATCACCCGATCTCTGAGGTAGATGAGGGCCTCTGTCAGTTCTGAATCAACCGTTCCAGATCCGAGCATCTCAGCATGTCTACTCAAGGTCTTAAGACGCTTGCCTGCCGCTCTTCCAAAGAGCTGGTTCTCAGCAAACTGTAACCTGCCTCTCAAGACTCTAAGTTCACCGGGGCGAAATCTGCTTTTGTCAATCAGTTGGTTCATTGACGCTACGAGCTCCTTGATCCGGGACTCAGTGTTCGTCACTCTCACAAGATTGTCAGACGAATCAGTCAGGTCAACCATCACACCAAGCACCCTGGACACAGTATCGAAACCCGCGTCCTTTTCGCCCGAGGTTTCCCATCCGAGCAAGGAGAACAAAGTTTGCAACGCCAAGTCTACATGTCGAGATTCCTGCTCGCTGGTAACCACAAAGTAGTCGTCAAAGTAAACAGACCAATGGATTCCCAGCAAGGAGCACCCGATCTCCCAAATTCCATAAGAGGCCCTGCAAAAACCCATGACAGCAGCTCTTGCCCCGAACGGGAGCACAAGCGATTGATACGCTACTGGCTTGTTCTTGGATGGATCGAATAAGACTATGTACGAGTCATTGAGCGCCGCCTTTGACAATGGCAAGTTCTTGTAGGCTTTCCTGAGATCGATCGTCTTAGAGGTCAGCCTGCTTCCACCACAAATATGCATTCTGCGCAGGATGCCAGCAGCTATGGTGTCAACACTCATGGGACTGATGGTGTGGGACGCCGAATTGGTCAGGTTTACCAAAGATTCTGTCAAGTCATCTATCGGCCTGACTTTCACAATGGGGGCACCACCTTCTCCAATCGAATTCTGCTTCACACCAAAACGTCTACTGACCACTGCAGTCTTTGGAAGAGACTGTACCTCCACCGGACCTCGGAGCCAGCCCCTCTT